TTTTAATTAAATTAAATGATGTAATTTAAAGTTAAAAGTCTAATTATGTTTAAGAGTCAAGATTAATATATACTTTTTTCATAATATATTGTATAAAAAAAATGATACGTATATCCTATTTTGTTACACATTGACGATTTTCGTTATTTATATTGTTAAAGTTAATGATTTTCATTATTTATGTCATTAAAACTGATAAAATCTGTTATTTATATAGTTAAAAGTAATGATTTTTATTACACATTGATTTTATTATATATTAATAAAAATCGTCAATGTATAATAAAGAGTATAACTTTATAAGTTATAAGTATCAATATTTTATATAAAAAAATATTATAAAAAATTACTTAAAGTTACAAGCTCAGAAAGGAACCCAAAAAGGAGTAGGAAGAAGACGAAGTAATATTGCATGCAAGGTATGAGTATGACAGAAATCCACGCAATTAAAATGGCATCCACGTGGACTTAATTACAAAGACTAAACTAATAAATTAATGACTAATAAGGAGGCAATTAAGGATTCTGTGTGTCTGACGTGGCACACTACCTAGATCAACGGTGGGGTCCCTTCTTTTCGGTGCCCCGAAACACGTGTTCGGATTCTTCGCCAGCCGAAGATACATTACACCTGCTCAAGTGCTTTTCTCTCATCACATCTCCCCCCCTCCCCCCTTTGAAGAACTGTGCGGGAGTTGGTCTGTACAGAAGTACTTACATGAACAGAAAAAAAGTATTTTCTTAGAGCCCTGTTTGGTTGCCATTTGAATACAGCTGAGGTTTTTTTTTTTTTTTTTTGTTAATAGGATAATGATGTACAAACAATTTATTTATGTAATTTTTAATTGTAATTTTTATATATCATTAACAATATATTTAATTTGAAAAAAAGAAAATGAAGGGGAGAGAAAACGAAGAAAATGGTAAAATACAAATATCTCTCTGTTTCCCTCCATTCTCCTTCCCTCATTTGAAAAATTAAAGTGAAAAACTCTCCTCTCCTTTAGATGATTTACTAACCAAATAGAGAAATTCACTTCTTCTCCTCCCCTCGAAACCAAATATATTATAAATAAATAAATAAATATATATATCGGGAAAGTGC